GTCTATTTATCAATTAAAATACGTTTCGGTGTTTTCCACCATCATCAGTTTCTATGTGTAGCGTTGTTGCTACTTTAAGCCTTGGCATGCATTTTTTGCCGAGCAAGAAAATGCATGCCAAGGCTTAAAGCAGCAACAACGCTACACATAGAAACTGATGATGGTGGAAAACACCGAAACGTTTTTTAATTGATAAATAGACAATAAATGACTGAAGCCCAGGAATTGATTTTGATTTGGAATTGAAACACAGTCAGGAAAGTATGTACAATTAAATATAATTGAGATTGAGACCGCGCAAAATTCCAAACAGGATTTCTTCAGCTGATTGATTACGGGTTTGGTAACGTTAACTCACGAGCCGCTGAAGGAGACTAGCGGAGGAGGAATCCGGGAAAAATCCCCGGTCGATCTGTCTTGGCTCGAGTACATAGAAATCTGAGTATCTTCCAACTATGTTCTCTCGCCCAAGGAAAATCTGCAAGAAATTAGAAAGTTGAGGATGCATTTTCAACAGCTACACAAATACCGGACACTCACATCATTTGATCACAAGCAATTACATTGAGAGAGGGAAATGGATTAGAAGAACGAGGTCCAAACCATCTGGAGCACCCGATTTTCACCTCAGGGACTATCAGGCTACCTTTAAAGATCCACCAGATAAGATATTGCCGATGTACAATTCGCTCATTAATCTTGTGGATCCACCAGCGTCGCCTCACATACGATGTGTTGTTATTCCTGACGCGTCGTTCTGAAATTGTCTGTTTTTTCTTAATGGCACATGTGTATGGGTGCGTTGACTTGCTGTATTAGTTTACCGGAATGTACGACTGTAGTTTTAATGTTTGCCGCCGGAAAAGGAAAAACCGCCTTAGCGGTTGGCTCATTTTTTACGGAGCCGCTTGAGCTGCGAAGCTCCAGTTGTCATTGCTGGATAGAGTATGAAAATGCTCGTTTTTGTCGCAAACATCTACTTCGAAATGTCTCTGGTTTTGACGCAAAATGGAAAAAATTAAAGTGTACTTTAAGTAGAAGCAACGGAAAACGCGCGGTTCCAACCAACTTTGATGCGAAGGAAACTCTCCTAAACAATTAAGTGCATTTGAATGGTCAAGTGGTAAATGAGTAGAGAAAATGAAACTAATGGGTTTTTATGCCGTCGTAAAATGGAATTTCTTCCGGACGTTTCGCAAGCACGAGTGGCTTGCATCTTCAGAAGTGGTTTGCTTGAACGCTTACACTGTTCTCATCAGAACCCGTTCAGTTCTGCGGAAGAACTGAACTGGGTTCTGATGAGAACAGTGTAAGCGTTCAAG